GAGTCATCTTAAAGGGGTCTGATTTTCAGAAGCTGAGTTCTCAGCACTTTTTGAAATTTGGGCCTCTTTAAGTTGACTCTTGTTGGGCACTCAAGATTCACTGGTAACTTTGAAAATTTCTGCCATAATCTCTGGGCCTCAGTTTACACATCTGTAAAATGGGTATAAATAATAAAATAATAATAATAATAATAATAATTCCCTACCTCTCAGTACTGCTGAGAGGTAGGGAATCTGTTTAACAGATGCAGTTGTAAAATTTTAGACAGATAAGGAGGTGTCGGAGGGGATGGGAAGAGCGTGGGGGGCCCGGGCTGGGGCGGGGTGGGGAGGAGTCACACGGAGGGTCACTTGGGGAGGTCACGTGCCCCCCCCTTGTGTCCCTCCCATGAGTGCAGTACCAGCAAGAAATGATTTCTACTTGCACCACTGGAGATATTAATGACAAACTGAGCACAAATAAACCAACATTTCACATTCTCCAACTAAAAGCTCCTACGCTTTCTGCCTACCTCCCACCAAATAGGTAAATACCCAGGACAGATTCTCCTCTTTCCTTCACTGGTGTCACTCTCCTGACTTTAATGTGATTACTCCTGATTTACCCCAGTGTGAGAGGAAGATCAGGCCCACCGTATTTCAGGCAACATTCACTTAGTAGTAAATTTTTTAAAACATGTAGCATGTAATTGCACTGAACGTTTGTCCATAGGGTCTTTCCATTGCTGTTTGTGAGATCACTTATACTATGTAGCTAAAACATCTCTAGCAGTGAGGGAGTCTTACCTAAAGCCAGGATGCCTATAAAGATTCCAGATACAGCAGCACCCACAAGACATCTCAAGACAATGTAGACGTAGAAATTTGGCGCAAAAGCTGCTCCAACACCAAACGCCCCCATTATAAGCATGGAAAGCAAAATGATGGGACGCCGCCCAATCCTAAGGGAGGAGAAGTTTTCGTAAATCTCTGAGACTACTGTCAGCTTTCACTCCTAATACAGCAGCTGAGGCACTTGGATACTGTAGTGATAGTCATCAATGTAAGAACTTGGCTAGATACACTAGTTGGTTGATATAGTGTATCCAGTATAAAGAAATAATGTTAAAATGGGATTGCTGCAACATCCGAGTTCTGGCCAAGATTATCAAAAGTGACAAATGCAGGGCGGTGCAACCACTAGGCGAACTAGGCGGCCGCCTAGTGGTTGGGGGCGCCTAAAAGCCTGCTCAGGCGACGAGATGGAGTGGAGGTGAGCTGGGGCGGGGGGGGGGGCAGCCGCCCGCAGTAACGGGGGGGGGAGGCGCACAGGGGAACTGCTACCCGCTCCAGATCACCTCCACTCTGCCTCCTCCGCTGAGCACACAGCCCCCGCTCTAATTCTCCTCCAATCGGCGCCGCAAGCCTGGGAGG